CATGGGAGGAAATGAAACTTTGCTGCAATGATATATATATATATGATTTAATCAACGAACGCATCCAAATCATTATGCATTACGAAGGTATACTGTGCTATGGACAATTGACGCCATTTGGAAGGAAGCCTATTTGACACTTCTGTCATCATCAATTAATTGATTTGTATATCGTGTGCATTCAAAAGTTCTGATGAAAAGTATATTTGGAAGATGAAGAATCGTATATTATATCATTGGAATTCAAAAAAGGATATTATTGTTATTTGTTCTATAATGGTGATGAAGCCACTGATTACTCATTCGATTGCAAAGATTATATAGATATATCGACGCCAAAGGACGCATGCTGAAGCCAATTTATTTCAACTTCCACGGGAGTTATTTTTGTTTCCGTGGAAGTAAATTGTCAGCTTTGTTTCCTTAAATGAGGAGGCAAACGCCAACTTTCGATTAAAACAATGTCACTTTTTATCCGAATGAAACCTGCAACCGAAAGAATGAACTAAAATGAATATCTGAAGTAACCACCAATTTGACTTACTTGACAGATTATTATGATACCTTTATTATAATGATATAGGTAAGTTAGTAGGTAGGTAAGTAAGTATTCAAGGTTATAAATAATGAAATCAATTCTCCAGAGATTTTATCCCAAATACGAGGAGAGGAGAACACGTTCTATATTCCGTTATTGCCAACGACTGCTCGGAGTTCTGTGCTCGAGCCCCTCTTGCATCCATGTGTAGACCACAGAACTCAAAGACCGTGTAGACTAGCAAATAAATAAATAAATGAATAAATGAATGGATTGATAAATGAATAAATGAATAATAATATACGTAGGTGAGCAAGTCCTCAGACTACTTCACATTAGAATATTGGTGGACGATTACTTTATTTTGTTACAATTTGTGTTGACATATGCATCTGGGTGAGAACAATCAGAAAAAATTCCACTCTCTCAATACCAAGTACACAAGAGTACTTGATGGGGTTTACAAAGACTTAGGTTTTGAAAGCGTTAATCAGTCTGGGTCAAAGTTAGGCAATTTATAAGGTGATCCAAAAGATAAGGTGGACACGCTTGGAAAGTCAGGAATATATGAAATCAGTCGTAATGATTGTGATTAAACATATATAGGCCAAACCAGGCGTCCCATGAAAACGAGGTTTAAAGAACACTTAGCACATTTGAAATATGGTAGGTTAGATAAATCGTGTGTAGCCGAACACATGTTCAATCACAATCATAACACACATATTAATAACATCAAATTAGTTGAACAAGTTGATGATGTTAGGTAATTAGAGGCATATGAAAGCTTAGAGATATTTAGGAATAGTAATAGAGTAATGAATAAAGATAATAGAACTATTTTGCCGGTGGGTCCCGAAGAGGCGCGAGGCGGTTCCGAACGACGCAGTACAACTAAAATTATTAGTTATGGATAAACAATTTCTGCTATGAATAATAATAAACCTTTTACGATAAATGTGTCATCAGTTGTGGCAAATAGTCAGCTGTTGTTAGTAACCCCAGAATGAGGTTTTTTATTCCCAATATGAAATTTTAATTGACTGAATAGACAACACTGTGATAATTCTGTCACAAATAGTATTTTTATTGATGACAAATAATTGGCGAAAAATAGAAAAGTCATTTGTAGGAAATAAGGATACGTTGTCATTGTTAATAAAATTCCAAATATTCTTAATTATCGGTACTAAAAAAATACCAACTAGACGTTTTAATTAACCAGTTTTTCTCAGTGTATGCTTAGTATATAAGTAGCTCACTAGGATGGAGCATTCATTTTTAATCTTCTCCTGAAGATGCTAACGTAGTTAGCGAAACACGTGCGTCGAGGCGTAAAAACTCAGTGTGGTTAGTGGTAAAACAGTGTGTAGAGTTTTTTTCTATGTTGTGTGTTTATCAATACACTTTTATCATTTTATTTTCACCTTTTTTTCAGTTTAGCTCATCGATGAAAGCGTGTTTTTTCATTTGTTCAAACTACTTTTTATTTCAAGAAGACTCCAGTCGTCCTGTATATTTGAAAAATCTGAAAACTCACCCTAGTCGTTTTCCAATATCGCAAAATATGTATTCATCCGATATATAACAGAGTTCTCGAAACAAGTGAAACGTGAAACATACACCCGGCCTGTTATTGCCGCACGTCAATCGGTATCGGGAAAATCTACGTGAAAATCTCTTTTGGCAAAAATTCATGCTGCCCTCGGGGCGAATCCGCATTTCGCATGCCGGAATTCCCGCCGTCCATCCTGATTGGTCAACGGGGCGGAAGTCGGCATATGTGACCGCTAAATCAAATCCGGAAACATCAAATAAAAAAACGGCCGTCCTAGAATATTTATTCTCGCTTCAAAGTTGACTTTATATGCGGAATGGCACAAAGCGAGTAGCCTTTTTCAATTCGTCCGCCCGTTGCATCGGATATATCTTATTGTCAGCAATTTTGCGATATTCCGATTCGTTTTGACTTGGAATCGTATGGTGACTTGTTGTTCGAAGCTCCGATATGGAAATATGACGCGTACAAATTTAATGAATCCTAAAACTCATACTTATACTCTAGTACTGGTATGTCTGATATGATTGACTCACTTAGGCTAATTGATTGGTCAATGTTTCAAAATGAAGATGTTAGCTTAGATCTCGGCTTAGATACTCTAGCAGAATTTCTAACTAATACATACAGTGTGTCCCACTTACCATGCTCACCATGGGTATCTTTTTAACGGTAAGAGATACGAGGTCGGTTAAATGACACCAAATGTGGAGTTTGTCAAGGACAACTATAATGTGGAAAAATATTCTGATAAAATCTATTCGTTTTTGTTTTATACGCAAAAAACAGATTTTGATCATTTTCATGTCTCCTCCGTAACTTCTTTATTTATGAAAATATTCAAATGGGAATTTCACATCCTCATGGCAGTTTTTTATAGTGATTTCGAAAAAAATATGAAATTTATACCAACTCTTCTAGAATTTGAGATATCAGCACCAACTTCAGTTTTTCAAACGTAGGTCATAGCTCACTATGACTTAGTTACAAATAACTTCTTTTTTCCTTACAGATGATGTGTCGCAGTTATAGTTTTGTGTTGATAACAACGGAGTTATCGTCATTTATACAGAAACTAAAAATTATTTGGAAGCCGCCATCTTGATTTTCTTAATTTCAACAAGAAAATCATGATCTTCGACCTCAAAAACCTCCACTTACCAATTTTGAATGGATTGGGACCAAATCTTGTCCGCCATCTTGGAGCAGCCATTTTTTTTATCTCAACTAAAATTCCATAACTCCGATTAACTTGAAATTTGGCAGGTGTTCCTAATTTCGGTGAAAATACATTTTTACAAAAGATGGCTGCTCCAAGATGGCGGACAAGATTTGGTCCGATTCCATTCAAAATTGGTGAGTAGGGATTTTTGAGGTAGGAGATCATGATTTTCCTGTTAAAATTGAGAAATTCAGAATGGCGGCTTCCGAATAATTCTTTGTTTTTGCATAAATGACGATAACTCCGTTGTTATCAACACAAAACTATTACTGCGACATATCATCTGTAAGAGAAAAAGAAATTATTCGTAACTAGGTCATAGTGAGGTATGACTTACATTTGAAAAACTAAAGCTGGTGCTGAAATATCAAATTCTAGGCGAGTTGGTATAAATTTCATATTTTTCTCGAAATCACTTTGTAAAACTGCAATGAGAATGATGTGAAATTCCTATTTGAATATTTTCATGAATAAAGAAGTTTCGGAGGAGACATGAAAATGATCAAAATCTGTTTTTTGCGTATAAAACAATAACGTATAGATTTTATCAACATATTTTTTCACATTATAGTTGGCCTTGACAAACTCCACATTTGGTGTCATTTACCCGACCTCGTATCTCTCACCGTTAAAAAGATACCCATGGTGAGCATGGTAAGTGGGACACACTGTATACAGTTCTCAACACACTAAATGGACCACTCATAATTTGACTCTATTTCGAAGACCTGTATTTTTTGAAAAAATTGACCGATCTTCACGCAGTTTTCGATGTCAGATGTGATGTTTCATCGGCTTCAAAGAGAGCTAGAACACTCTGAAAAAATCCGCAGAACAAAACTTACACAGGGTATAAAGTGGAACCATTACACTATGGTCTACATTTCCAATGGTGCCAGAACTCGAGAAATTTTTTTCTGATCAAAAGTCAGTCATATTATCATACATATTATCATGTATTGGGACCTCATCTCAAGACGCTTTCGTCATTTCTCCTTAATTGGCCATTGGAACAAAAATTCGATTTTTTTTTCGAAAGCCTTGCATTTCTTGATTTTTTCCTCTAGAACTCCACTTGAGTTGACTATTGGGAAGAACTATGCCCATGTCTTGTGTAGGACAATGGAAGACAAAAAAAGCACTTCTTTGGAATATACAGGATGATAAGAAAATAGGACAAAATCTCATTTCAGTAACAAAAACAAAAATGGTGACTAAAACCATGGCCCATTCGATTCAGTATATTCAGAAACGGCCTTCTCGATTTCCATTATTCATATTAGACTATTAACTCGAGACGTTTTCTAAAATTCGCCTCTAATATAAATACAGAATGAAAATTTTCGATTTGAACTTGTTTCCTGATATCGATGATTCTTATCATTTTATCAACTGATTTCCAATATTCATTGCCCAAGTATGAGACACAGAGTATTGTTGTTCAATATACTGAGTGTTTCACAACACATCTGACAAATTACGAACTCTGGAAAACAATAATGTTAGCAGAATGTGGTGACCAGCATTATCTCCAGATCTGAATTCGATTGAACATGTGTGGAGCCGAAAGAAACTTAACCTATCGAGAAGGCGAGGTACTCCAAAATAATGACAACCTTATCCAAGCTCTATCAGAAGAATGGGGCAATATCAATAGACTTCATTCAACAACCTCATAGAATCTATGCCAAACCGATTTCATGAGGTTTTGTACCAAGTACTGGAATTTAGGATATAGGACTTTCTATTTGGATCTTCATTATGCTGAAGAATTCATATTTCGCCAATAGAGCCCTTTTCGAATAGTTTTAGTGGATATAAAGTGTTACAAATTTTATTTTCGTTTTACTTCTATAAAATTTTTTGTGATGGACTTCTTATGTAATATCGTAGTTGTGGTTGAAATTTGTCAGATAAGTTGTAAAACACTCAGTATATTGAACAACAATACTCTGTGTCTCATACTTGGGCAATAAATATTGGAAATCATCGATATCAGGAAACAAGTTTGAATTGAAAATTTTCATCCTGTATTCATATTAGAGGCAAATTTTCGAAAACCTCTCGAGTTGATAGTCCAATATAGATGATGGATATCGACTAAACGTAACCTAGCCACACAAAAATCAAGTCGGCATTATATCCCCCCAGAGGCGTATTTCATAGACAATATGGAAGCAACGCCATCTGAGTAGAAACGAAGAAAAGAAACACTCCAAAACTCAAAAATTACCATACGGGAGTGGCTGGTTGCCCGACTGGCGTAATTTTAACAACGAAATAGTCACATTGTATATATTCAACATTTCATTCCCTTTGAGCAATGTGTCTATTTCGTAGTTCGAATAATAATTATTGATTTGCAACTTCAACTCCCTGTTTCTCAAATCTATGCATTGAAGAACTCTTTGACTCTGCACAATCAATCAGTTTATCGAATATCACAACATCATGAAAATTCAGGAAATTTCACCGAGAACCATATTATATTGACTTAATCACCTCGATGTTCAATTGTTCAATGCTACAATATATTGTATTTCTAGTTGTTATTTTTGCTTACCGATAACATACATGTATCCTGACTGCATATAGGTGTAAAAATTTGGTGCGTCTGATGATACTTCACACTTGTATTTGCCGGAAGCTTCGATTTGTACATTTCTCAGCACCAGTTTGTTGGGGCTGCTTTTTCCGAGCTGGAAAATACGAATACAATTATCATAAGGAAATATTACGATACCACTAAGATGGTTCAACTTTCTGGCTCACTATAGGGTATGACAACTTTGAAAGAGGTGTTCTCTTTGATTCGTTTTTTCAAGTTTTGGTGAAGGTACTTAATTTGGCGTGTTTCTGTCATTTATTGATTTTTCTGGAAGACAGTTTGGTTCACCTATATGAAATGAGGGTATACCTTGTTTTGTATTGAATTAATATCTACAGTCTGTCCAAGATAAGGTTGCACAGCATGGGGATCTCGGAAACGGTAGGAGATACGAAGTCGCTTAAATGGGGAAAAAGTTGCGCATTCGGAGGCTCATATCAAGAGCCTTCGAAAAGTTTCAAAATTGTTTCAAGTTTTCCAGTTATACAGGGTGATTCATTGGGAAATGCGCATAGAGTAAGGGTAGACGGAGGACATCGAGGTGCTTCTAAATAATATATATTTAATGGGTCTATCATTCTTCGTAGCTGAGATACAGGGTGATTTATCAATTTTCTAATTTTTTTCAATTAATCATAACTTATGAACCACCCTATACATTTTTGTGATATTTGGTGGACATGTTCCTTGTCCACAGATGTGTCGATTGACATAATAAGATGAAGTCTTATTCCAGGTCCGGCCTTAAAAAAATTAATAAGTAGGTTTTGAGTCGAAACAACACCCTGTATATCAATATTTTGGACTTTCATTCACAAATTTGAAAAGAGCAGACAAAAATAAGTCAGGCTGAATGTATTTTGTGTTTCCGCATACAACTTTTAAACCTATTAACTTGAGTCAAATCTAGATGTTTCGATAATGAGGTGGCACAAAATTGAAAAAAAAATTAATTATCGTCCCAAAATGGTACTTTTCCATTTTCAAATCATGAAATCATCAACTATTTCTCACTCTCCTTATTTTTGGATCCCAACCTGATTGGAAAACGAGAGGACAGGTCCGTATTTGGGACACATTATTATTATCAATGACTAACTATAAACACCTTGTATGTGCAAGAAAATTGTCGTAACATTTGTTTATTGCCCTACATTTGAAACAACAATAATTATCATGGAAATGTAGAACAAAGCTCATTCCGAAAAGAGTCATAACTTTGTTTTCAACAGAAATAGCTTTGAACATAACAGAAAATCAAAAAACTAGTATTGTTGTAATTTTCAAGTTGGCTGATGTCAGAGTACAATTTTGACGTTAGTTGATGACTTAAGAGTGTGTACCTGTGTATTGTGTTGTTACGTTATTCGTTGATAAATAGTTAGCACTTACTCAAAATGCCACATAAATTCAATAATAATGAATATGCAGACATGTTGTATGTCTATGGATACAGTGACGGTAATGGGAAAGCTGCCCAATTAATTGGACCCATATCTTACCACATGTACTAACAGGAGAAATGAATTTGGAGTTCCTGCAAAATACTTTGCCCGTATTGCTTTATGATGCAGGAGTTGATGTTGGAGGCATGTACTTTCAACATGATGGGGCTTGCCCTCATTTCAGGGTGATAGTAAGAGAGTTCTTGAATAACAACTTCCCGAATCATTGGATAGGCAGAGGAGGACCTCACAACTTGCCTGCAATGTGCCCAGATTTTAATCCACTCGATTATCATGTTTGGCGTTATTAAAAATCGAAAGTTTATTCAACTGAGGTTAACACTAGAGGGGACCTCCTAAGGAGAATTGAGGACGCATGCAACGTGCTGAGAAATGAGCCAGCTATGATAAGGAAGTCAATTTCAAATCTAACTTTAAGAGCACGGAAATGTATTGAGCGAAATGGAGGCCACTTCGAACAACTGTTATAAGTTATGCTGTTAAATTTTCTTTGTATCTTATTGTTTTTGTTTAACTCGATACAATTTGTTGCAACGACATTTTTGTTCGAAATAAATTATGCTTTTTCCGGAATGGGCATTGTTCTTTATTTCCATAATAATTGTTGTTTCAAATGTAGGGCAATAAACAAATGTTATGACAATCTTCTTGCACATACAAGGTGTTTATAGTTAGTCATTGATAATGATAATTTGTCCCAAATACGGACTTGTCCTCTCGTTTTCCAATTAAGTTGGGATTCAAAAATTTGGAGAGTAAGAAATAGTTGATGATTTCATGGTTTGAAAATGAAAAAGTACCATTTGTGGACGACAATTAATTTTTTTTCATTTTTGTGCCACCTCATTATCGAAACATCTAGATTTGACTCAAGTTAATAGGTATAAAAGTTGTATGCGGAAACACAAAATACATTCAGCCTGACTCATTTTTTCCTGCTCTTTCCAAATTTGTGAATGAAAGTCCAAAATATTGATATACAGGGTGTTGTTTCGACTCAAAACCTACTTATTAATTTTTTTAAGGCCGGACCTGGAATGAGACTTCATCTTATTATGTCAATCAACACATCTGTGGACGAAGAATATGTCCACCAAATATCACAAAAATGTATAGGGTGGTTCATAAGTTATGATTGATTGAAAAAAATTAGAAAATTGATAAATCACCCTGTATCTCAGCTACGAAGAATGATAGACCCATGAAATATATATTATTTAGAAGCACCTCGGTGTCCTCCGTCTACCCTTACTCTATGCGCATTTCCCAATGAATCACCCTGTATCGAAAAAAGTGAAATTCTGGAATATCTATTTTAATTTTTTTCTCCGTTATAATTAGAGATAATATCGATAATATCGATAATATCGATAATATCGATAATATCGATAATATCGATAATATCGATAATATCGATAATTATCGATAATATCGATAAATCGATAATATCGATAGATTGTGATTATCGATAATCGATATTTCAAAATCATTATCGCCCACCCCTACCGTGTACTCAAGATGCATATTAAAAACTAATTCAGAAAAATGGCAAAATTGAACAATATTCTTCAACACAGTTTGTTGGCCATGTCTGAATAAAATTAGCTGTTGAAGGTTGAAATCCTGCTACAAAAAAAACTGATCCACTCTGTGGATAATGAACCTCAAACAACAAAATTCAAATTATTATCAGGTTTTTGAGAATACGATCTGAAGTGATAATAGTATATGTGATAAGAAGCTATTGTTAGGACTTCTTGAAATTTGGAATTGAAATCACAAATACCTAGATGCTCAATGAGGACCTATTCCAAAGATTGGTGTATATATTTTTTTTGCAATTGCATTTACTTCGTTGGTCCCAGCACTGGGACCAAACGCCCCATAAGTCGGAACTTGCTCGGGGTTAGGTAAGCAGACAAACACAAACATCCATGGCCTAACTAGGATTCGAACCTATGTCTCGGTGGGAGTCCCCATACGAACTCAGCGCCTTCACGCTCTCGACCACCGAGCCTGTTGAGAAGTTTTGAACTTAGGAATTAAAAGAGGAATGGACTTCGAATTCTCATCCGAAAACTCAGATGAACCTGACTGAGTTTTCAATTTACTATTGATAATGTTGCTAATACTCGTATTTTATCCAGAGTATACTGAGGAATGTGCTAAAAATATTATCGCGATAAAATAGTGTTCATAACTTGCTCGAAAACATTTGAAATGTGATAGACAGTTGAAGTACACATTGTGAGTAGACCTCCACGTAGACGTTAACGTACGGAAAATAACGTTCACGGATTATTCTCAAATTGAGGTGAAGTCATCAGTGTCACCGTAACGTGAAATTGAATTTCTGTTTTCGGTTTTTATTATTGGTCTTATTTGGTTGTTTGTTTTGATCTGAAGATTAGTTCGTGTTGAAATGAGCGAAATCCTTGAAAAAGAACTTTTTGGAGATCAAGGATTCAATAATCTTGGCGTAAGGGCATATTTTGGTTAACGTACATTGATATTTGAGTTGTAGCTGAAAGTAAGCAAGATACCGTACACCCGTAAGCCCACTACTAACGCAATCGTAAAAAAAACGACAAATGCGCATGCGTAGCTGTCAATTTCTATACGTTTACGTTAACGACCATGGCAGCACTTCAATTGTCTAACAATGAACTCAATGTAAACAACTGGAAGGGATCCTCTGTGAACGACGAGTGAGGCAAAAATATTGTTCAAGTAACCCGCAGTGTTTACGGATACCTATATGTCTTTCAATCGTATGTTGGCTAATGGAAAGCGCTCGCATTATTTGAAATGACAATACGAAAATACGATGTAGCTCTTGAGTTCAATTTGGACTTGTATTTTTTACCTTCAGAATGATTTTTAGGACCTCATCAAGAGAGTAATTCTCCTTCATATTTTTGGTTTCAGTATTTTTACTTTTCTTTACAATACAATATAGGCTTTCTTGGATATGAAACATTTTGCGGGTTTCATTATCAATGAACTTTGAATATTGGGAGCTGGAAATTGTAGGCAAATCAATGTCCATATAAAAAACATATTGTCCTTTAGAATCCAAGGTATTAACATCCACACACATATATACACAGACACATCCTGAAAATGAATTTCTATAGTATTTCTATATTCAACTTACCCATGAAGGACAATTTCTGTTTGTTTTGCTCGTTTCGCATCTAAAGGCAACACAATATAAATAACCATCGTTCATTATTCCAAAACCACAAACCTTTTCAACAACAATCAATTCACACTAACAAATTCAGTCCTTTTGAGGAAACAAAACACGCCAAATTTAGCGATATTTCACATAACAAAAAACAATAAAGTTCTGTCTTCATTTTATTTTGCCTGTATAGATGAAAAAAAAATTTCAAGTACTCCGATTATTGGAAAAAGAAAATGTATACACCAATCCGCCATTAAAGAACACGAGTGTGAAAGAGACAGGTTACCGTAACACAAGCTATCTTTGTTGCAGCTGCCCCTGTCACACTCTGTGCTATTCGAGAAAACGGCAGTCTCCCTTCCAGTTGTTTACATCGAGTTCAATCGTTACCACCGATACAACAAGGCCAGCAGACTCTGACGTAAACAGCTCGTGACGTCGCCAAGAGAGGCCAGTGTTTTATTTTATCGCTTGTCGACTAACGCGTCAGTTCGTGTTAATTCATCGGTGATTCACGTATGTTTTTGAAACGGTCCCGAATTCTTTTGTTGTTTATTCATCAAAATAATTGGCGGAAGAAGTACTGTTTTGTGAAATATTTTGTGTTGTGATCGGCGAAATAACAATGCCTTCCAAGTGTTGTGTTCCCTTTTGTCGGGGGAATTATGTGGGTGGTTCAAAAGTTCATGCTTTTAGTTTCCCGTTGGACGAGGAGCTATCAAAAATGTGGGTAATTCACTGCGAGGATTTTACTCCATCTAAGTTCAGTAGTAAACAGAGCTTAATTTATAATGATGAATTAATAATAGAAGACAATTACTCCCTCATAAAAAGTATAAGTAGAGGAAAAATAGAAAAGCTTTGATTGTGCAGTTAGTTTTGTATTCGTATATTATAGTCAACAAAATAATCTCTGAATTCGAGGAAATTTTCTTGAATGCTCATAATAAACGGGCATTTTTAATTCTCATTCCCAAATTTCTTTCTGAAAACGGTCATTTGCCTCGAGGCAATGAATGCAGAATTCATTCCAATGATCAAATTGCAACTATCATATTAACATGAACTACAAACATTCTACTTAAAAAGGTAAAACTGCATTTATCATGATATTTATCATGAAGATATTTGACTAAAAAGTTTCAAATTTCACCTTCTTTCTCACCTGTCTTCTGGATGGCATTTAGAACAAATTTCCCTTCTTTTTTCATCATATTGGACAATTTATATATAATTCAACTATAAATATGATTTTCTTGAGATTAATCCATATTTAGTGAAAAGAAGGAAGAATATTGTTTGGTTTGATATTATCCTCTCTTTATTTCCTATAAGTGACATTAACATTCATAACATTGACATCTCCATCATCTCAAACTTCCATGTATAGGGTGATTCATACATCTCCCCTTTTCACTCTTCCAGCGCCATGTTTGGTTTAATATTATACTCTCTTTATTTCCTATAAGTGACATTAACATTCATAACATTGACATCTCCCTCATACTCAAACTTCCATGTATAGGGTGATCCATACATCTCCCCTTTTCACTCTTCCATCTGCCTAACGGAGACTTGAATGGATGTACTGGTCTTCTCACAAAGCAGTTCAATTTCGTGAAATCACGCAAATTCTGATTTTTCCGAGGATTTTTCCATTCGGCTTTTGAACAATAACAAGAGGGCTCACGAAATCAGCTGGTATATCGTCTACAGTTTTGATAATTCCTTTTTGCACCATAGAGTCTAGTTCCATCTTTAATTGCTCCCTCCAAGCGAATGGAATTCTTCTAGGACATGTGATTGCATAAGGAACAACATTATCCTTCATATGGATATGCACTGGCTTGCCATCCATAGGTTTCAATGCTTCTTCCATACTGAAAACGTCCTCATATCTTACCAGGAGAAGATTACGTATACTGTCACATTCCTCTTCTGACGGATTATCAGGAATATTATCTAGAGATATTCTTTGCACAGTTAAGAACTCGGGAAGAGGTTTCGGGAATTTTTTATGAATAATTCCCAGTTCTCTTAGAGAATTTCTATCAAGAAGTAGTTCTTCAACGCCGGTACAAATATAAACAAGAACGTTCGTGATCATTTTTTCATACTCTACTGCACATTCTATATATCCTAAGACATGAAGTTTGGAATGGTCTGCAGATTTCAAGTGAACATGATTTTGTTTCAACTCTTTGGGTGAGTACGCTAGTGTACGCATGAAATCTTCACCCGCTACGCATACTTCGGCACCTGTGTCAAGGGTGGCTTTATGAAGAATAACTGTTCTAGGGTTTTTATGTGATTTAACTTTCACATGAATCTGTCGCCCATTAGCTTTCTCCAAAATATTATTTATAGTTATACGATCAACATGCACTGAATCGATTTGTTCGGTTGAACACTCGATACCGCTTACGTCTTTTTTGAAACAGCATTTGGTATAATGACCTTTTTCATGACATTTTTCACATTTACTGTTTATCGCAGGACAATCTCGCAGGCTTTTATGCCACTGAGTATTACATCTCGGGCAATCTTTGTTATGGTAATTTTTAGTTCTTGAGTTGACGTATTTTATACTAGATATGTTACTATTGAAGGTGTCTTCTTCTTTCATAGCAGCTTCTTCAGCTTCACACAACTTCACAATTTCCTCAACGCCAGCTGTGTCTGGTTGTTTCCTGCATTTTCTTCTGATTTCAGAGTCAAATAAGGACTCTATTATGTGATCAGCCAAGCACCGATCATAACAGTATGAACAAGGTTCAGCCAACTGTAGAAGCTTCACCTTTTCTCTGTAAAATGACATAAATGACTCTCCTTGCTCTTGTTTTCGGGACATGAGAAGACTACGCCTCAATCGGCCATTTTCTTTCCTCTTGAAATATTCTTCGAGCTTATTGAGAATCTCTGGGCTCAAGTTTCGTTTAGCTGAAATCAGTTATGAAAAAACTGTTGCTATGGCAATGATCGTCATGATAACGAGTAAACAAAAACCCGATTTCCATGGTGAGGAAATGCGTGGTTGCCAAGTTGTATCGGGTTTAGTATAGCTGAAATCAGTTATGGAAAAACTGTTGCCATGGCAATGATCGTCATGGTAACGAGTAAATAAAAACCCGATTCCCGTGGTGAGGAAATGCGTGGTTGCCAAGTTGTATAGGGTTCAGTTTGGCTGAAATCAGTTTTAGAAAAACTATTGCCATGATGGCAACGATCATCATGGTAACGAGTGAACAAAAATCCGATTTCCGTGGTGAGGAAATGCGTGGTTGCCAAGTTGTATCGGAGAATTATTGCTTCATTCATAAATTTTTTAAACACTTCAATGTAACCATCCTTCACGTGCTGAGCTATTCGACAAAATCAAAAAGAAACAGAGCCATTTTGGAATATTCATTACGAGGTATCGCGCAGGATATAGGAAAAGAGACTACAGGTACTGATTGTCTAATACAGATGGAAACATTTCGTTAGCCCCACCCACATCTCCATTTGCCTTCATTTCGATTCACCCATACCTTTCTTCAGGCGCACATTTTGATTCAGCAACAGTCTTCGAACATACACGAACGATGCCTTGCTACCAAATCTGAACGATGTTGGAAAATATATGTTTTTCAAGAAGAAGGTTGATTCAAGTCGAGTCAGGTTAGATTGTTTGGAAAAAGTAGTGTTCTTTTTTATGCAGTCTTCAAACACACACGAACGATGCCTTGCTCCCAAATCTGATCGATGTTGAAAAATATATTTTTTCTAAGAAGGTTCATTTAAGCCGAGTTAGGTTAGATTGTTTAGAAAAAGTAGTATCCTTCCTTATGCGCTATTTGTTCCTCACTATTTTGTCGCTCGCTATTTGTTCAATAACAAAGCCTATTTTTTTCCTGACGTTATTTCCATATATGATCGTCAGAGAAGTAGTAATTTTGGGAATTTATCAACGACCAACAGTCTTCAAGAAATTGATATGAAGGGTATTCATTCGAATCAAGTTATTGTTTGAATACTAGCAAGAACTTTTGTCGAACAAAATTTGAGGCTGATTTCAGCTATACTAAACCCGATACAACTTGGCAACCACGCATTTCCTCACCACGGGAATCGGATTTTTGTTTACTCGTTACCATGACGATCGTTGCCATGGCAACAGATTTTCCATAACTGATTTCAGCTATACTAAACCCGATACAATACTTGGCAACCATGCATTTCCTCACCACGGGATTTTGTTTTCTATTTACCTGTAACCATGACAACGGTTGCCATAGCAACACATTTTCCATAACTGATTTCAGCTAAACGAAACTTGAACCAATCTCTGTCATATTTATCATAGTTTTATCATCAAACTTCAGAACTAACCTTACTATGTCAGATATATCTTGGCTAAAGAATGATTCTAATAATGCAACTTGTTGCTTTCCAGAGGCATGTTTTAGGTCTTGAAATTCCACATAGTTTTCGAATTTTCGTCTCCAGTCTTTGAATTGTGAATATGTCAGAGATTCAGTAATTTTCTCTGGTCCTGGAATCGCACTTGATAGACGAATACCATTGGGAGTATTACGATTTGACTGTGTACTGATATCCGAATTTGCCGAGTTGTGTTTGCCTTCCGTGAAAACTTCACCATTATTGTCTTCTTGTACTACTGACTCTGGGAATCGCTCATCTGAATCACCAGGTATCAATTTCTCCAACAGATTCTGAAGAGTTGAGAATTGCTTCTTGAACTGATCCTCCATTCGAAAAAATGAATCGTTGGTATTCTTCTCCAATAATCTGATGTTTTCCTGTGTTGCCGATAGTGTACTTTCAAGGGGAATCAATCTGGTATTGATCAGATCTTCCGTCGCTTCGCCTTCATCGATCTTGCTGGTTCTTTTGGATTTCCTTGGCATGATCTTGTAGTACTAAACCTACGACTGCGCCATGTTTGGTTTGATATTATCCTCTCTTTATTTCCTATAAGTGACATTAACATTCATAACATTGACATCTCCATCATCTCAAACTTCCATGTATAGGGTGATTCATACAAATATCAGTCAAAATAAAGGCGTGTGTAATGTCATTCGAAAGCAATCTATTGACATTTGACATCTCGTATTTTGATTGACTATTGATTAAATGGTCGTCATCTGGAATGCTTGTTCACTAAATATGAAAAACTCGCCATAAAAATCATATTTCCTGTTGAATTTTCTATATAAAAATGTGCCATCGAAGAACATCATGAGTGTCCAATGACAAAATAAGAGCAAGTAGATTCAAATGCCCCCAACACAAGGGGAGAAAGAAGGCGAAATTTCGAACTTTTTCTTGAAATATCTCAATAAATAGTGGTTTGTTCACATTTTCATTATAAAATTCGGTTTATCAGACAAAAATACGTGAGTACCGAAAAAAATTTTCAAAAACAAAAAACCATCGCATGATAAATGCAGTTTCACCATTAAAAATTACGGTTTCAAGTGTAACCATCCACTTGGGTGAAAAATCCAACAACCGAAAATTGAAAACACTCACTGGTTATTTTTTCAGGTAATAGGAATTCTCCAAGATAAATATAGGTAATTGTAACAAACGGCATGTCAATCAAAATAAAATACATTTTCCACAATTTTCTTTTGATCAATCTCACGATAAGTTTATGTTCTGCGGGCCCTGTATAAGTTTACCATCACCACAATTTTTGCCAATATATTTAATTCGAATGGGTTGCTGTAGGTGGATATTTGTGTTTTATCCTGGTTTTTGCTTTAAAACTTCGTTTTTCCATAATAAAATCGAATGGGGTGGGAAGAAGGGCTCAGTTGACGACTGGCATCCTTTTTTAACCGGAAGTCCTTCAAAAAACAGCAAAATCGGCTCAATGATGATCTAAAACTAAAATCGAAATACGCGGTCGCCTTATAGCGCTATAAGCGCTTGTCGTTTCGAGCCGCTGGTTAGGCCTCACTAAGTGACGTCACCCACGGAGCATGCAGGCCTTGTTGTATCGGTGGTAACGGTTCAATGCTCTCTAATAACCAGCAAAAGACGCTTACGTCTACATTGACTCCGGGAAGTTTGAAGACTTGCGTGCTGGGCAGCTCCTTCGGAATGTATCTGTAAAATTCGTTGGTACCTTTGTACCACTTGACGGTGTACAAGGGCTCCCCCTCTAGGTCGTAGTCGCATCTTAGCGTCACAGTGTCCATTATTCTGGCGGCAGTAGGGATGACTACGGAGACGTCCTTCAGAGCCGATATGCCTGAAAAAAGAAGGGTTTTTCAGAATGATTAATTTTTCCCCCACTGACCAACGATTGGGTTCTTCTTTTAGGCTTCCTGATAGAAGAATTTTTTGAACGCAATGACATGTTTATTTATTTATTTTTATTTATTTATTAACGGGTGAACCCAGTGTAAAAAAAAACATGAATATATATAGCCTATACAACATATCACAGAACATTGATTGATTTATACCATACATATCTACACTTTAAATACAATGAATATTGAAAATAAAAACATTACATTATTGCAAGAATACGTTTGGCTCTTTCAGTGCCAGTGTTAAAAATGTCCCAGTTCACTCTGTTACTCAGCGTAATCATTCTGTTTATCGGGTTCATATCGGGTTATTGTTTGCCTATATAGTTATATGAGTTTCTAAATTGAATGTGCTGCTATAACGTAATCGTTTTTGCGGAACATGAAATTTTATGGAGGCCAATAATTTAGGACATGCAATCAATCTGATTATTACATAATTTGTGAATAGTGATAATGTCAGTGTTACTTCTACGCTCTTCTAGGCTTTTTATGTTCAGAAGATTTAAAATATTGTCATAATCAAATTCCTTCATAGCAATACCGAGCTTGAAACCGATATAACGCAAAAAAACGTTTCTGAACTCTTTCTATTTTAATGATCTGCTATTTTCAAGTTGAGAGCGTACCAATGAAAAGTGAAGGGATTTCAACGCGACAATATTATGAAAGTCCTTTGTTGATCGTTTGATGAACCCTAGCATCTTCAAAGCTTTGTTACAGATAAATTCAATATGAGGAATAAAGCTAAGTTTAGAGTGATAATGACAAAGCGTCGAGGTTAACTATGATCTCGAGACAGGAATGAAACTTTCTACCAAGGTTTGTATACTATTTCATTTGGAACCGTCATATTTCGATCAAAATTAATAAATATCTGTCTCGTTCTGAAAATACCTAAAATATTATATGTGAGGGCAGGAAATGAGGGCGAGAAGTAGTGTGGGCGGGAAGTGAGGGAGAGAAGTAGAGGTGTGTAATGTGACAATTCCCAACTTTCAATGACATTAGTAATGACAACAATACATATATGGTTGTGAATAAAAGAATAATTCATCTCCTCGACTCCCCAACAGACAGTATTTATTAATTTTCTCATTCAACAGTCCAAACTTCATTGTGGTATGGAAACGTTTTTTTCATATCTGGAATTTATCATTTTGCTGTTGAAGGACCTACATATACAATCTACTTTGAGAGACTACAGATTGGAGAAAACACTTTTTTATGACTATTCCACTCTTATTTTCACACTAGTGCGGTAAAGTATCTCAATACGAAACGAAAATCGATGTGAATTCTCACACTCCCATATATTATTTCTTTCACCACTAGCTATATAGAACCTACCTTTTCGAATTCGTGTGTTTTCCCTACCAAGGTAGTTTTAGTCATACCATGAACTACTCACTAGTCAATAAAGACATAGCCATCTTTGTTATAATCAACCTGAATTCGAATTCACTGTTCTGATGTGAGACTCGCAGGAATTAGGCATTCCAGAACACGTGACTTTTGACATATTTCTAATGGCCGCCTGTAGGCACACAAATATTTTTTGTCGATTTACGTACCAGCGGTATAATCTTGGGTAGATATATCAAATAATGATAATGGCTGTTTTGAATAAAAGTGGATATTTATAATCCTTGGATCACTATAACAAAGATATTGCGACACGAAAGTATGTGTGCCTACAGTCGGCCATATTGATTTAGATGGTTTGACAGCATCTTGGATAGGTCAATGGCACTCGAATCCAGTAGATATATATTCATCAATAACGACTTGTCATATGGTGTCATAGTCATAACTACTAAATTTTAATTAGGATTGAAAAGAAGTGCTTTCATAGTGACAATAGCTGAATATTTCAGTTCCAAAGAAATATGATGATTGTTTATACATCTTGCTAGTAATAGAATATTACTGAAACAGAACACAGGACCTAACAGCCCTCGGCTGAAGCCTCGGGATATCTGCTTGGTCCCTCCGTGTAATTATGATATTGTTTACTACCTTGGTGTATGAATAACTATGTCATGCATCTACTTTCTTGAAACAAAATATTGCTGCTACTCAAAATTCAATTAGAGGCATTTGAACTAGTCATAAATGTGGCATTCCATGGAGATGCTGGGGAATATCTCACTGAGTGTGAATAAGTCCAAATAAGTCCATCTGTTTATATATTTTTGAGTAACTCCGCCTTTGATTGAATTCCTTTGTACAGTTGAAAATTTGTTTCGAGCGATTCCCGAATCAATGAGAAGATGAATACACACACAAAAAGTTTGAGGTGTAAGGGCCAATTTATGCATCATTGTCTCAGTCTCAGTCTTAGTCACAGTCTTTGTTTTAATCATAAAATCAAGTTATGAGCATACATTTCAATAGGGGAATTCATGCAACATTTTCAGTCTTAGTCCTAATCATAATCATTAAATCGTGACTCTGAAAGTTACAAACTTTCAATTTTTATGCTTATGATTGAGACCACATAAGAAATGCGCATGTGTAGACCTATATGACAATCACAAATGACTTTTAATTTTGTGTTTGTCATCCAAAAATCATTGCCATTTTGTACTGTGTCAATAATTGATCACATCATTTTGATAATTTGATTACATTTGTTAACAAATATCAAAAAGTCATGAGCCTGGAAGAAGAAACCCCAATAGATTTGGTGGAGAAATTTCCCCATCTTTGGGACAAGAAAGACTCAAAATAAAAAGATAAAATTGCAATAGAGAATTCCTGGTGTGTAGAATTTGTTTTTGTACCTATCTCTTGACATTGTCAATCATATCATAATTCTTAAGCCTAAAGACTGTGATGCATAAAGGTCCAAATATGATGAGTTAATATTCTATTCACCTTGGTAAGACTATGATTAAGACAATGACTAAGACAATGATGCATAAATAGGCCCTAATAGTTAGGAATATTGAGAATATTATATTGTTTCACTGTCAAAATCTGACATGTTCGTAACTTCAACAGATAACAATGCGTGATTCTATAGCCAATCATGTATATAACTCTCCTTCTCGATAATTCCTTGTTCACATTGAACTGTCAATATGAATCAGACTTAATATGTCTCCCATCTCATCAACTATATCAATTCTCTGTAAAACAAAAAGTATTACATGTATTCGTCATTTAACTTGATAGCACAAATATTTTTTTTTATAGATTATATCATACGACGTATATACTCATCCTCTCTTGTAGGCACCGCAAATGTATGCAACATACATCACCTCCAGAAACATTTGATCGATCATAATATAAGCACGCAGATTTTTTTATATCTCTTGGGGCGCAGGAAATAATAATCCTATAATGTTCGAAAAACAACGTACCACGGGAGTATATAGAACGAGGAGGTAGTTGTTCGATTTTTTTTTAACTTCTGGATACGTTCTTAGGAATAATTTGACTTGTGGAAATTACTTCAGTGACTGAGTATATAATTTGTTTTGCTCCAAATGTCATATAATGTGGCTTTTTTATGACACGTAACAGGCAGGAAAAGTGTACTGTCTTTGCCTAGGCTTGAAATAGTATATTGT